AAGAGCCTGGCCCCATCTTCCTGACAGCCACCCTTTAGATATTGATAAGCATTGATAAGATCCCCCCTCAGCCTCCTCTTCTCCAAGCTGAACAGACCCATTTCTTTTAAGGAGACTTAGCTAACTTAATCAAATTAAAATATTATTACGAAAGACTGGTAGTGGCAGATAAGGAATAGACTGAAGGTATTAGCAATATCTAAACACTTTATTTGGAGTGCTGTGGCTGGCCACTGTGTAGCTATACTGACTTTTTATGAAAGGAAGACATTTGGGTTTGGTTTTTAAATTATTAAAAAAAAAAGTTATACATAGAAATAACAGCCCCGTTTGCCAAAATGGAATGTGCCCTTGGAGATTTTTCTGGCTGGACTAAAGAATGGTAGAGAAAATAATAATAAATTGAGGTGTATTACATCTATGATAGCAATGTTAGACGTAATGCATCGTGTCAACTTGTTTATTTTGCTCATTCACAATGTGTGGCGCCGTCTGCATGGCTTAGCCTGGTGAAGTATAGAAGATACGTGGACTTAGAGGTATCCTTTTCACGCCACAGTACTGCACGTGACATGTCAAGTGGCGTGGGATTTTTTTCTGGGTTGGTTTGGTTTTTTGTTTGATCTGCCAAAAGGTATCTGGCAGTATTTTATAAAAATGTTCTTGCAAGTTTGTCTCATCCAGCGGTGGATGATGTTTTCTTTCACCAAAAAAAGCTGCTAGTTTTACTTTATGTTTTTAATGCTCATACTCTTGGGGCTTGAGCCTGAATGAGAACCATAAATGTATCCTGGGCAAACTGTGAGGGAGAAGGAAGAAGAAAAAAGCTGGAATGTGGCCTTTGCATTGCCCTTCCTCTTTTTTCTTGATCTCCATTTGGGAAGGTTCCTTTCCCTCTTGGGACATGAGATGGGTGGCTGGTGGTGCAGGGCGAGGTGAGGGAGCCAGGGGCTGCAGGTCAGCTGGACAACCCTCTGCTGGTGCAGGTTCCTGTTACAACAGGATTAAGCCCTACCAATTCCAGTGATAAGATGTATTCTCCAGGCAGATTCCCAGATTCCCTTGTCCCTTCAGCACTCCCGGAAGGTCTGGGCACGATCTGTAGCTCCCAACTCAAGTTTCATGGCTCTGGTAAATTTAAGTAGACCCTGCCTAGTGCCATGTTATCGTTTCTCTGTCGTAACCTTTTGCATTTTCACCCACCATCACCACTCGAGCAGCTTTTTTTGCAGATAAAATCAGCATTAGTAAAGGAGTTGTTTTCATATTTAATCCTAAAATCTTTGACAACAGCACTTCTTAGACACTTTAAATTGTTGCTGTGTGGGGTCTTTTATTCTGGCCTTTTGCCTTTTTACTGGCTAAGTCTGCAGAAGGAATCTGACCGTTGGGTTGTGGTTTTGCATTTTGCATTAAATATTAAAATTCTGAAGCCCTACTCTGTCTCCAGCTTGTGGAATTGTCCTGGCACCCTCTGGGAAGGGTTGGGGATAATAAACAAGCATTCTGCAGAGACTGAAACAGTTGTGCTCACTGATGGCAAGAATTTTGATTTGGTAAATGTTTTGACCCTTTGAAGTATTTTGTGCAGTTTCCCTGGGGATTTGCTGTCCCTTTCAGCTGAAAATTAGCTGTTGCTTTATACATATTGGGGATGTAATTTTTTTTTTTTTTTAACCCTCGTAAATATTGTTGTGCCTCTGGATTTCAGTAATATTAAAAAAACACCTTTAAATATTTGTATTTCCTGTGTGGTTCCCTCCCCTGGTACATTCTGTGCGTTATAGAAGAGATACTGATCTCCTACTTTCTGTTCCTGTACAGAAGGACCAACAGTGGGCTGTTGGAAAAATACCGAGATGACCCAGGTCAATCGGGCTCATATTTCCTGAGGGTGAATGGCAACGGAATTACAAACACTGTTATTTCAGTTTCTGTGGCACTCTGTGTTCAGTAACTTCATAAAATAAATAGGAGATATCATAAACCAGTGATGCTCTTGCTTTAATATGCTTTTCCGATCCAGATCCTCACTTCCAATTTCACTTAATTGCATAATACTAGTTATAGGACTAGTTATAATAATATACAACTAAGTTTTAAAGTTCTATTAATACTTTACAAATATTTTTATGGGTTTTAAGTAGTATAAGCAGTATGATTTTAGACACAATTATTTGAGATACATTAAAATAGTGTCCTGTAAACCGAAATTATTTTAGCACTGGCCTGGGACTGCAAACAAGTTTAAGCAGTGTGGCTTCTTCCTTCCTTCCGGAAGTGTAGAAGGAATCTTGTTGCTGTTTCTGATGTCAGCACGGGACTGACACTTAGTTCATGTTGTAGTGAGTATCAGCACAGGAAAACTGAAAATTACAGTGTCCAAGTAAATTACAAAAAGGAAGAAGATAAAGGAATGCAGCTACTAGAAAGGGCGAGTGTCGTACCTGGGCCCCAGGGCATTGCTGTCTCCCAGTGGCGGTGTGTACCTATCCCAGAAGGGTGCATTTGTCACCTTACCACGGCATTTGAGACATCAAACCATTTTGGAAGAAAAACTGAGTGAAAATAAGCTGCAAAAAGTTTTCAGTGCTCTGCTTGGCTTTGGTTGAGATGAGCGATGGGCACAGAGGTTTGTGCAGCTCAGAGAGCCGCCAAGCTGCCTTTGAACATCCCCCAGATGCCCTGATCGTTCGGGTCCGGACTGCTGCTGTGGTTCCTTGACCTGAGTAAGGGGTGTCCTTGGAAGAAAAACTAAACATTTACAATCTTATACGCAGTTTTGCTAAAACTTGGAGTAGAAATAAATCCTTTCTCCAGAGCCCCAGGTCTGCATCTCAAGACTTCAGGTAGAGAGCCCATAACTTCATTAAAGAAGATTAAACCCATACCCAGCACTGACTTTATGGCTGAAGGGTAAATACGTCCGAGCTTTGACTTTTTTTACCACTGGAGAAGTCTCCTGTCATTTTGTCGTGGTTTAACCCCAGCCAGGAACTCGGCACCACACAGCCATTTGCTCTCACCCTTCCCCCCTCGGCAGGACAGGGGGAAGAGAATTGGAAGGGTAAAAGAGAGAAGACTTGTGGGTTGAGATAAGGACAAGTTGAAAGAAAATATAACAAGAATTTGTAATGAAAAGGAAAATAACAAAGCAAAATAAAACCCGAGGACAAGTGGTGCAAATGAAAACAGTTGCTCACCACCAACTGACATATGTCCAGCCAGTCCTCAAGCAGCATCCCCACCCGGCCCCGCCAACCTCCCCCTGAGTATTACTGCTAAGCAGGATGTCATATGGTCTGGAATTACCCCTTTGGTCAGTGGGGACAGCTGCCCCAGCTCTTGCACCTTTCTGATCAGCCAGAGGAGCCTCACCTCATCTCTTTCCTTTTGCTCAGCCATCTTCTCCCTCCACCCAGCACTCGGATAATTAGTCACTTCCATGTGTTACGGTCTGGGGAAATAGAAAATCCATAGCATACCTATAGGGTGTATTTGACAGATGCTATGGTACTTCAGGAATGGGACAATTTAAGCCTGCCTCTCAGTAGGTAATATTCCAGGTTTATTTTTGGTGGCACTTGAGTTCCAGAGGTGCCTTCAGCTTAAGGCCAGGCAGCCAAAGATGCTGCGAGGTTTAAAGCCGTGACATTTAAGTAGAACACAACCGTGCTCTTTATTTGTAGCCTTTGCTCTGCTTTTAAAGTTTAATGACTTGTTTTTGTTTTGTGTATGTGGCAGAAATCTCAAAATAAGGTGTTAATATAGCTTGCAGGAAAATTAATTTGAGTCTTTGTTTCATTATATTGGTTAAACTTCAGTCATAGATACTTGACCTTTTGAAGAAGAAATTTCAATACAACTAAGGATTTCCATTACGATGAACTAAACATGGAGTTCCTTGATTTTTTGCTTTGTTTTGTTTTTTTGATAGTGTGAGTTACATTTTAATTCGGGAACAATACCTGATTTTCATGGCTGTGCAAGTGCTAACTGATGACTGTAGTGGCTGCTTATGTGTAAAAGTAACATCAAATTTTTTTTTATATATATATATATATCTGTGCATGTATGTTTAATGCTGTTTACAACTTGAAAATAAGTAAGACATTCCAGTACCTAATAACTGCATTTATAGCTAATATTCATGCTAATAATATGCTAGTCTAATTAGTCATTATTCACCTAGATGCTCCAGAAAGTTGGCTGCCTTTTCTTTAATTTCAGGGGGGTTTCTGAATATTGCTGCTAGAATTTTCAAGGGGAAAAAACCCCACCTTTTTGTATGGAAATTTTAGCAGACTTTTCAGCCTGAACCTCAGCCAGCATTAGTTTCCAGTGGGGGTTTAGCAATAAATGCGCTTTTCTCTACTCTCAGCACAAAACCTGAGATTAATTTTGCTATGAAGTATCTTTAGGTCTTAATTAAAACTGAAGTTACTCATCCTGGTAAGAATGCCCAGGCAGACAATGCCTAAATATCCTACTCTATTAAATTCTCAGGTATTAAGAAGGATGTACTTCATGTAGTACTTCTAACTTAAAGCCTGTGCTGTATGTGTGCAGTATTTAATAAACATTTGCACCGTAGAAGGAAGAGTTAGAATTGGAGAGCGTTATGTTAAATACAGGGGAAATGGGTGAAGTATGAGAACGTTTTCTCATACTCAGTGTTTCTTGCAATGTCTTTAAATGTGATATCGTACAGTGAAACACAGGTACAGTGATATGCGTAATGGAGCTGTTCGTGAGCTGAAGACTGGCTTGGTGCATGAAGTGCTTTTACAAGCCCAAGCAGAACTGGACCAAATTAATTCAAAGTCCTGTGGTGGAGTCCTGGAAGGCAGCCAAAACGTGGTTTCGAATGCAGATATTAAGTACATTTTAAACTAATTATCTTCTTTTGGTAACAGTGTATCTACTACCTGTTATTTGTTTAGCATTGCCTTAGAGGTGCTCATGGTTATTTTCTGTATTTCTCTTCCCCCCAACCTTAGTGGAATCGGTCGAAATTGGCCATGGGCCTCTGGCGGCAGCAGCATTTTGGCAGAATTTGGGACTTTGCATCTGGAGTTCGTACACTTGAGCCACCTGTCTGGAAACCCTGTCTTTGCTGAAAAGGTTAGACTGTTCAGTCAAAATCATGTTGTTAAAGATTAATCATGTGTTGGAAGACTAGTATCTTGGGGGAGAGATTTGGATTTTCCGCAGTTGTAAGTATTTGTTGCAGGAGGGAGATATTTCCCTAATCACTTTGGTGGGCTTTTGTACTATAAACTCAAAAATCTGTCCCAAAAAAATCATTGTGATGCATCTTCTTGTATATAGCAATTACCCAGCCCCATAAAACTAATCACAGAATGGTTTGGGTTGGAAGGGACCTTAAAGGCCATCTAGTCCTTCCACCCTGCCGTGGGCAGGGACACCTTCCACTAGACCAGGTTGCTCAGAGCCCCGTCCAGCCTGGCCTTGAATGTTTCCAAGGATGAGGCTTCTACCACCTCTCTGGGAAACCTGTTCCTGTGTTGCACCACCCTCTTTGTAAAACAATTTCTTCCTAATATCCAGTCTAAATCTCCCCTCTTTTAGCTTAAAACCATTACCCCTTGTCCTGTAGTTACAGGCCCCATTAAAAAGTTTGCCCCTAATCATTTCTGTTTCTGTTCTCAATTTATATCCCATTAAACAGTCAGACCATAGAGCTTTCTATAGTATGTCAGCTGAATGTGGTGAGAACAGAAATTGATGGTATACTGGGGATAATATGTGGTGTCTATGGAAGGCAAAGCACCAGGGCTGCCCGGTGTGATTTCAGCAAGTTTAGTCATCAGAATGCTGTCATCAGAATCTCCACTGTCAGTAAGGTCAGAAAGCCCTTCCATTGCCTTGACCTTTAGGAAATCTGCTTTGAACTTTCTTTGGGGGGAGAAAAAAAAAGCCCCAAAAACATCCTTTGACAAAACAGTTGTTATGCTTACTAATTATTCCAAAATTTGGTAACATTGTCTTGGATAGTTTTTATTTACATAAGCACTGGAAAGAAACTCCTCTTCTCATTCCCCCAGTTCCCACCTAAGCAATTTTCTTTGGTTTTTGGTGTGTAGGCAGCAACTCCTGTTCTTTATAATACACTGTATCATTTACCTTTTTTTTCTAATTAAAACTTCCACTTTGTTTTGGTTTTGTAGTCTTATTCCAACTGCCCATGTTAGCTAAAGCTGATATTATCTATCCAATAATGTAATGAATAATGAGACTCCAAGTGTTTAGCAGTAGGTTTAAAACCAACGGTCAAATCTAGAATGAGTACCAGTTGTACCAAATGTAAAGCACTGGGTCACTTTGCCGTGATACCACTGTCAGCACTGGAATAAATTTAGTGAAACAAACTCGTAGCAATGTGAATGTATTCCGGGATTAATTTAAAGACAGAGTTTCTTTTAAACAAATCCGAATGGGGGAGTGATGAGAGACGTGGCAGCACCCAGGACCGGCTTAACAAACTTAGTAGGTAACTTAATTACCTTTTGACATTTATGGTAATTTAATGTATAACATCTGTTCTATTGAGAGACAGTTAGAGCGTGATGAAAGTGCACGTTAAATATCCTAGCCTGTGGTTCTCTTCCAAAGTGGCTTCAACCTATAGCTGCAAGATGCTGGAAATCTGATTATGTAAGCTGCTCTTAAAACCCTTTAGAGACTGCGATTCCACAGCCCTGCAAGGCAAGCTGTTCCAGGGCTGGTACGCTCGATAAAGAAGAAGAAACACTGGAATAAGCTTTGTATGGAAGTATTCATAGAAGAATTCATTAAATGAGGTCTCTAGGACTCGTTGCAGTCTGCATTTGAGCAACGTAGTGTTAAGATGCAGAAGGCAGCTTGTGTACCACAACAGAAATCCCTCTGCGGCTTGGTGTAAGCTAATTTATCTTCTTTCTCAGCAGCTAGTTCACTCGATCTCTAGGCATTCAGGGTGTTATAATGAAGCTGTCAGTACCTTTTTGTTACCATTTCTGGTCCGTGGTGCTCAGGATCTTCATTCTCCCAAGTTGCTACATTTGCTTTTTCTTGTGAATGTTAAAATTCAGTATAAATTATTTCATGTGCTCTGCAATGGACTGTGCTGCTGGCTGACTCCAGCTGCAGAGCATCTGGCCTGTAATTGTTTCCCCGGGCCTCTCATTTGTAGTGAGCTCCTTAGCAATGCCGACAGAGCGCTCAGGGCTGCGTGGGTTCCTGCTGGGCAAGCTGGTTGTATGAAGCTCGGTTCCAGCAACGCTTTCCTTTCCAGGCAAAACTGCTTTACAATTCGCTTCTGCATCTGAACTAGGCCGTAGGCTTAATATTTAATACCATTTCAGGTTTGGGTATATGAGGAATATAACGCTGAAGCAGCTGAGCTTAGTTGAGGCCACCAAGTGTTTCACATTTCGATTAGGTATCAGGGAAAAAAATCTTCTTGGGTTGGTCCCTTCCAACCCAAACCATTCTATGGTCCTGTGATTACCGACATGTAAGAAAACAGAAACTCCAGAGGTTTTGAGGAGTGCGCTTACGTGATGATGTCAGCTTAGAGGATCTTTCTTAATAATAATATGATTGCACAGAGATATTCGTATGTGTTGAATAAGACCCTGTTTTCATTTTTAGGGATATTTGCACTTTTAAGACTTCTGTACTGACAGTGTGTTATTTAGGGGGGAAAAATGGATCAGTGCTCAGTGCTTTGTACCCTTCCAATAGGTAATGAATATTCGAAAAGTGCTCAGTCGGCTGGATAAACCAGAGGGCCTTTACCCCAACTATCTGAATCCCAGCAGTGGCCAGTGGGGCCAGCGTAAGTAGATCGCTTCTTCACTACTATGATCTGTCTCTCGGTGTGCTGTTCGCAGGTGTTAGCTTCTTTCAAGCACTGTTATGGGTTTTTGTATATATATAAGGAACTTTTGTAAAGTATAAATACTCACATCACATCTGAGGTTCTATACAATGTAAGAAATACTACAAACACAAATAAAATTCTACTTGGTGTATTTTAATATGCTTTTCTTTGACGTTTCAGTATGGCTTGTGCAAGCAGGGAAATGTCTGAATATGTATAGTTTTGGAAAGGAATTTGTAGACAACACACAAATACAAATAAAATCCTACTTGGTGTATTTTAATATGTTTTTCTCTGGTGTTTCAGTATGTCTTGTGCATGCGGGGAAATGTCTGAATATGTATAATTTTGGAAAGGAATTTGTAGACAAC